GTCTCCTGGTGCATATGGGGCCAAAAGAGTTCCAGCTGTGAATAATTCAGTCTTTTTTCAATGTTATTGAGGTTGCTGCTACCTAGAAAACTCCAGGTGCCCTTGTGGTGTCTGCTTTTGACCTCATCTGTGCCAGAAGAGAAGGGAAGCTCTGTCTCAGTTCTGGGCTCCAAGCTAGAAATCCAAGCCTGAAACTGCTCCTGGACATGACTTGCAGCCATCAGTAAGAGGACATCTCACTGGGATATTACAGCTAAATCCTGTTCCCTCCCAAAAGACAAACATTTAGGCATTTCAGGTGTCACACTTTGCAACTGTTGGCACATACATTTCCCTAAAAATTTGGTCTTGTGTTACACAGGGGGAGCAAAAATCTCAGCGTTCAGGGCCCACATCTGCTCCACAGCTGCAACCAACAGCAACTTTATCATTGGCTTTTGTGATGCAGGGTAAACTGTGGCAAATATTGTCTTTCTAGCTAATTAATTGAATGGTCTTGGGCATATCTCAGTAGGAATGTGAGAATGGAAAAAGGGAGCAACCGTGGAAATTTTTTTACACGAGAAGGAAAAACTGAGCCTTAGTACCCAAAGAAAGACTAGAAAATAGATTTTCCAAAGTTCTTTTAGAAAACAGAATTACAAAATCAATGGATAAAAGGCAGTTTGCTGGATCTACTGATGATTTTAGTAATGCACTTGATGTGGTTTCTCATGACATTCTTGCTTGCAAAACGAGTTTGCTCATTGGTTTGGGTATAAACAATGTGTTGTAAGGACTGCAAACTGGCTGAAGGATAATTATTAACAGCAACATACCGTGTTTTGGGGAGGTGTTTAGCAGAGATTGGCACCAAGACGGGATTTGTGTTGATTCCTAACTGCTGGTAATGATCTGAAAGCAGACTGTGCTAACAAAATCTTTAGAGGACAGTCACTTGGGAGATGGCATGGACAGTGAAGCTGCCCAGGTGTGTCCCAATAGACCTATAGAGGATGGGCACAGGAACAGGAAACAGCCCAGTGCCATGAAATGTGGGAAATGACAAACTGATACATGAGGAAAACCTCATTCTGAGAGAGAAATCTAGAAGAACACTTTGCTGACAGAGACTTGAGGTGATAGGTAACAAAAAATGAAATACAAATTTGTGGTGTGATGACGTTGCAATAAGAAAGTCCCGAGCAGGATGAGCAGGAATTTTTGACCAGAATGAGAACCTCTCTCGGGACAGAATGCTGCATTTTGGGAACCTCAGATGAGACTGGGTGGAATTTCGGAGTAAATCAGCAGTTTTGTGTGCCCACGTGTGGATGTGTTTATGTGCACCCAAGTGACAGTAGCTCAGTCTCTGGGAACTGCTGAAAGTGAGGGCGAGGATGTGACCGTGAGTAGGAATGTGAAAGGCATAAACACCATGGCGTTAGAAAAAAACAATACAGGGGTTTTATTAAGGTCTTGCTAAGAATAATACACACGAAACTATCAACTGGAAAATTGAAGCAGGATATTAATGAAAACATCCTGAATGAATGAGATCATTTAGGCTGGAACTTTCTCCTTTGGGTCTTTTAAACTCAGTTTGGGGACCACACTCAGCGCAGTGCCGTGGGGATGAAGTTCTGCCTTCTTCCCTAAGAGTGGGCGAGCTGAACTGGTTTTTAGGTTGTACGAGCTTCTCAAGTGTGCAAAATACTGTGCTTTTTCCAGATTGCACTGTTGGATTGCTCTACAGAGCAAACCCCACACCAACCACAAGTGAACAGTCAAAATTGTCTTCACCGTTTGGCCTGAGTTGGTCACCCAGGGCCTCGTTTGGTTCTGCGCCTGTCGACATCTCAGCACCTACAATCCAGGGGGCTGTGCAAGGGCTGAGTGGTGCAAAGTGTGCAGGGCAGTGTGGCCCTTCTGCACGAGGGTCTGCAGGCTCAGACATCTCCACAATCACTGCGTGTGGAAGGCTCAGTCTGTGCAGACAGGGCTGAGGGGGTGTGGACAGACAGATTAATGTGAATTTGTGCGGTTCGTTGGCCGCGCGGAGCTTGAACAATCAAATCCCTTCAGTTCACTCCACTAACTGGATTGCTTATGACAAAATCACAGCTTTTTCTCCAACCCTTTTTAATCTCCATTTTGAAAAAAATTGGAAATGACATGGTAAAGTAAGACCAATTAACATTAACAATTGCAGTTTATTTGCTTCCACTGTTTTACAGCGTGCAGTCTGGTAGAGCAACATGCATAGCTATTTTGGAGACATCAAAATAAATAAGTAAATAAGTACATAACCCCGTGGGCTTACAGATTGAGTCAAAGAGCAGGAGATTATTCCTGGCACTGCACTCAGAAAAAATTGTTGCCTTTGAAAACACCAGACATTGACAGTTTTGCATCAGGACAAAATTAGGATGAGGTGGAATCTCTCCATTCACATTGTGCCAATTCAGCAGATGTTTCAGGCAATTCTGGAAGGTGAAAAGAAATGAATAGAGACTAGAAACCAAAAGCAACCCCAGGTCCCTTGAGACAAAGGCTACTATTTCTCCCCTGACCGACTCTCCTCTACATGTAGTGAGATAGTGTTATCTAAGTGTTTACATTTGTATTTTAGTGCTGTGTAGCACTTTTATATAGAAGAGATGCCAAAGCTTGGAACAAAGAGGGCATGTGTCATTATCTCAATTTTACAGGTAAGGAAACAGAAGCACACAAAGGTGCTAAGATTTGCTGGCAAAGCACTCAGTAAACCACAGCAGAGCCAAGCACCTGACAGATGATCCTGTGTGTTTGCCTTTGGGCCTTGTCATCTGTCATCTTAATGGTAGAAACATTTTGGACTTGGTCACACTGGAAAAGCAGAGGACCTAGGGAAAAAAAAAATAATCCAGAAATTTGCCAACTAAAATCAAAACATCCAATTTAAAAACTTCCAAGAAATAAATGTTGTGTTATTGTTCTCTGTGAGGGAAATGCTCTCAATTAGAGCTTTATAAATGTGAAGCTATGCCCACCCTCATTCCACAAATTAGAACCAGCTACACTTGAGAGAAGCTCCTAAGAAGAGCTACTCAGTTAAAACACCAGTAATTATTCTAACATCTCATATTCTTTTACCAAAACAAAATAACATAAGCTTGGAGACTGACTGACTTCTATCATAAACATTAACATGCTGTGCTTGGACCTCTGGAGATCTGTCAAAAACCGAAATGTTTTGTCTCCACGTAGGTTTCTGCTAATGGATTTTCCATGCATCCCTTGTTTCAGTCTCTCTTACCACGTGTGGGACTCAGAAACTCATTGCTGCTCTGGGCAGTATCAGTTCCTGCTACTACCTTAAAAGCATCAAGGGCTGATTGCACATTACATTTTTTATTATGCTCTGTGTATTTTTAGAGGAGAAAGGAGCACTGTTTTCCACCAATTTAACTTAGTGTTCTGAGTGAAAAAGATATCAGGCAGGGGAAACAGCAAGTATATCTTTCAATCTGTTACAACGTGTTTTAAGTACATTCCTAGTGGTGGATTTCATATTCTATTTTAATTGTATTTAACACTTTGATCCCCAATCCTTGAAGAGTACTCCACTGCACAGGCTTCTGTGCAATGAGGGATGGGTAAAAACGAAACAAAAGAAAAAGGAAAAAAAGAGAATCACTGCCAGGGGAACTTGGCATGTTATTATGAGCATTAGCCTGGCAGGAGAGCTCGTGGGCAGAGCAATTTGAACATAGAATCATAGCACGTCCTGAATTGGAAGGGACTCACAAGGATCATCAAATCCAACTCCTGGCCCTGCACAGGACAATCCCAAGGATCCCACCATGCACTTCCTGAACTGTCAGGCTTGGTGCCATGACCACTTCCCTGGGGAGCCTCTTCCAGTGCCCAACCACTCTCGGAGTGAAAAACCCAGTATGTTTTCTTGCCGATCCTGTGCATTTCAGCTGAGCAGTTTTCAAATGATGCCCTTCCCATTCTTCATGTGTTTGTATTTAAAGTATTGCTTGTGTTTAAGAAGCTGCAAAGATTAAGCAAAACATCTGCTTACTCATATCCCAGCTGTACAACACAAGGAACTGGACAAGAAGGTAACACGGTAATTGTGAAACATGGGATAAAAATTCTCTTAAAAGAAGGAAAAAATCCTGTTGCTCCATCCTTACCTTCTTTCCAGCCTTGCTGATTGTATTGCAATTGCCTCTGATTTTCACTGAGGCAGCACTTGACAGCTTTAACACTCTGTGTTTCATTAAAGTTTCAGAGAGAGAGGTAGGAACTAATTTTTAAAGATTTCTTTATTGTTCCTTCTGTTTGAATTTAATGTTTGCCTACCTCCAACACACAAAAAATATAACGGATAATGTTTTGAGATTTCTTAAAACATCATTTGTTCGTTTTGCATAATAGCACTCACCTAACATTTTCTAGTTGTCCTTTACATCCATATGGACTAGAAATTCAACGTTAAGCAAAAACCAACACGAAAATCGCCCAAGCTTGAGTTCTTGTGCGGTCTCTTGATTTAAGCAACACTTTAAAAAACATTAGCTGTTGCAAGGCTCCATAAAAGAGGTTGCAACATAGAGTGGGGTCAGTGGCTCAACCTCTATGAATTTGCCTGCTTTCCTGAAGTCAGTAGAGGTAGAACTCTGCACCAGCTGACATGTCTGTCCCAATACATTTTGACTTGCAATTGGTTTTTTTTATTATTTTTAATTTTTTTTTTTTAATTTCAGGGAAATGGTTAAAGTGTGGCCATCTGGCTCCCACTGAAACTGGAGAGGGAGTCTCTTTGGCTCTGTTTCCTGTACAAATAAGTCAGCCTCTGAAGCTTATTAAAAATATTTAAAAAACAACACACAGATGAATACAATGAAATAAGAAACAAATGCAGAATGAGACCCTATAAATGTTGCATGATGAAGTGCTTGTACACAAGCTACAGTCGTAATTATGTGTGTTAGAGCAACGTGTCTTCTTCCTAGAAAGATGAGTACTGGTGAAAATCATCCTTGAATCCAGAGTGGGTCTTGAGGATGATCCAGAAGAGATTGAGCTGATGCTCTGGGAGTCCTGGTGCAGGTAAGAAAATATCTCACCTGCAAGTGAGCCAGTTTTCAGTGACCACATTGTGGAACATAGAGCCCCCACATAAAGGAGGGATTCCTTATGGCATTAAAAGTGTGATCTCCACAGTCAGAGGCTCACAGACCACTCTGTGAGCCAAATACACATAAAAAGCCCCAAACTTCACCTAAGCAGTGAAATGCATTGACACAGAAAGGTGTTTTGGTAGAAGGTTCAGGTGGAAGAAGTGTGAGTTGTCATAGTTACTGTTTGGTAAAGGCATAAACCTTACTTCTTTTTTCTATTTGGGTTTTGACTCTTTGGTGTAGTTCTTATTACTTGGTATATTTTCGTGATGACTGTTGCTTGCTCTGAGTTTCTGTTTGTGCCAGCATTCACTGTACTCTGCTTCAGAATGCACAAAGTATTTGCAGTATGCAGAATGCTGTATATTCTTGAAAAATTACATGGCCCTCTGTTTTCCTGTGAAGTCTGAGTTTTTCACCTACCACAAGTGGAGAATAATACCAAGATAAGCCCTAGTTAGTTACTGCCACATAATCAAATATCACAGGTATGTTTGTCCTATAATTAAGGGTAGATTTTGCCAATCATATTTTTATCTGGATTTCCCTACCCTGTGAGAGATCTCATTACAAGAATTAAAGCTTCTACTGGCACATGTGCTAATCTATGTAAACAGGAATGCAAGAATGTGACCTTTACTACTGATACTTTCATGTATTTTTACTGATGTAGAAAAAGGTCTTAATCTGTGAACACAGCAGCGGTTCCAAGAGAATTGTAGGCAGTAGCAGAAGGGTAATTTGAATCTATTCCTAAATATTATTACTTGGATGAAGTTGAAAATACCTCCAGTTTTTGTTTGTCATCATTGTCAGCAGTGATGCACCTGGTTTCTGGTGCTCCAAGAGGAAAGCTGCTCTACTTCTTTTTCTTTTACTATTTTTTTTTTGTTTGTTTTGCTATTTTTAATGCCTTTTTGCAGTAACAACCAACGAGCTTCTCCTCAGCAGTCCAAGCACAGTGCTGTGGCACCCCACTCACTGCTGCCTGGCGATGTGGAAAGAACAAAAACCAATAAGTAGTGATGACAACCATGTAATCCAGTGTTTCACCGCTCTCTATCTCAGGGAAAAAGCTGCATTCCAGTGCCACTCTGACACAGGTGAAAGTCTGCTCCTGTCTGAGTCCCAGCAGGAGGCAGAGATACTGCCAGGATGACTCTTTTACTCTGCTCTTTACCTGTAGTTGTGTTCAGGCCCTGCAGCACACTGATATGCTGAAGAGTGTTAGTATCCACATCAGAATATTAGTCCTTTTCCTGATATTATTCCTCAGTCAGAGGGGGAAAAGAAGCATTGGGATCATTTTCTGGAGAGCACATGCAAAGCAGGTGTGCCACATTGCTACTTAGAGTAGTGGGAACCTGGTTTTTCGTGGTTGTTGTGCAATCATTTGCTCTTCAGGGCAGAGCATAAGCCTGCCTAGCACCCATTGCCAGTTGTGAAAATTCAGATATAGGAAGAACAGATGTCAAAGGGAGTCAAGGGAATGGACCAGAGTTCAATGCAGAGACTTTCTTGTTTGTTTGGGATGCATGAATTGCTTCTTCATACGTTGCTCCCTAAAATACTGAGCTTCTCAGGACAGCTCAAATGAGTTTATCAAGGGATGCTGTGGAGAGATGAAGCAGATATCAGACATGATCCTATCCAGCCCGTGCTACACAATGGGATTTCAAAAGCCAAATTTCAGTGAGATTTCAAATTTACAAAAAAAAAAAAAGATATCAGCATCCTTTTTGGCCATCCCAGAAGCACTTGTCCTCGTTTATATGAGAAACCACAAGACCCCTGAGAACAGCATAGCTCAAAACCTCAGTAGCAGCAAGGTTAGCTGCAACTGTGTCTGAAGGGTGATACTAAGAGATCTTTCATTCTTGGTACAAGCAGCACTGAGGTGGTTGTATTCCCATCGATTGGTAACAAGGTAACTATCCTGCAAATGGTTTTCTTTAGGGTAGAGGTAGCTCATAATCTGCTGTCACAAAGGTACTGTCCATGATTATTCCCAAATGTGTTTCTTGCCTTTCCCTAGAGCGACAAAGTTGATTCACTTGGAGAAAATAAGGAGAGGGTTTCATAACTAGCGTGTCTCCATTGTTTTTGTTTCCCCCCAGAGACTGAAGTTACAGGTTTCTTCCTGCTGAAGAAAACTGGCAGCAGCAATTCTCCTTTTCTTGGGTGATACTAAAGCCTCATTTCCACTTATTTCAGTGGCTCTGCTGCTGGGGAGGTGTTTCATTGTGTATGTTTCTCTGCAGCCATTCTAGAAAGCAATGCCTTCCTCTCCGTTAATCCTTCTTATTGTTTCCAAATTTTTTTTTTGTTCTCATTATCAGCGCAGACCATTGAAGTGCAGCCCTCAGCCAACATCTTAAAATGACCTAAGTAGTGGTGTAGACACCTTAGTCTTTGAAAGAACCATTCTGTTTTCTCCTGTGATTCTGATTGTAGTTGCTAATGCATTGATCCATAAGAAAAAGGGTACCACATAGTAACTGTATGGTCAAAGCTGCAGAAAGGAGTAGCTGAGAGGAAGATGTTCTCCCTTAGATCAAGACTTGTACCACAAAGAGATCTCAAGCTCCTCTCTGTTCTCTCTGTTGATGAATTGCTGTTAGGTCTAACAGTTCTTCTTTGTATCAGCCCATAAGTACAGCTGTGTCTACTGGATTTTGCCCAAGGGCTTATACATCATAGTTTGCTAAATTTTAATCATGCTTATGTTTGCATTTGAGTGGAGTTCACATGTCCTGTAAAGCCCTTAATCCTCAGTTTGCCATCCCAGGCAAAATGCCCAGTCTCAGCTGAGCCCTTCCTAGCAAACTGCTCTGACTCCACTGACTCCTCACTGTGTCCTCTAATGCATTTATGGATCTGGCGAGAGCTGTGCTGGAGATCTGCACTCCTCAGACCAGCAATACAAGGTGCTGTTGATACCCTTTGTTAAGAAATAACATACAAGCGTTTTGTCAAGCAACTGAAATTCATCCATCTCTCCTGGTGATTTAAAAAAAAAAAGAAAAAAAAGTATCTTTGTATCAGTGTGCAGGCACACTGACAGCTGGAAAATATTTTAGCACAACTGCATGGAAACACCGAGTTTGTTCTAAAAGGTTTGAAGAGCATGTTGTAATTATTGGTTGACTCCTCTGTATACAGTGTTGCAAGATTACTCCCTTTTTAAAAACCAAATTAACTGTGCAGTTTGCATCCAATTTCTGCATGCAATTGCCATGATTACGTGTGCAGCTCACATAACTGCACATAGAAACTGTCAGAGTTGTCTGTTCGGATATGTGAAGTGGAAAGGCTGTTGTCTTTTGCATGCATTGGTTTGGCAGCTGATTTGCAAATCTGCCCCTGCTTGTGGTCTGCTTTCCAGAGGAAAGTACTTGTTTCAATTTAAATAAGTGGCATCTCTCAGTCATTCCTTAAAAGTGACAATTATAGGCTGAGGTGTGTTCGTTTGACAAGGACAGATCTTCTCCTAGAACAAATTGTTCAGAGGAATTTCATTTGTTGTTTCTTTTTTCCCCCTCTTTGATGTATGGTAGTACAAAGGAATCCAGGACGTGGCTCTTCAGAAAAGAAAGACTTCTAAAATATCCTATGGGCAGCACTTTATTCCTGTGTAGTTCTACCCACAGAAAACTTCTTGAAACAGTTGCAGATATGCTTGTTAAGATTTAAATGCAGTGCATGGAAACTCCCGTGTTTTCAAGTTAAAATACAGACTCCTCGTGCATAGTGCTCTAAAGAAAATACATGCAAAAATTATGATGTGCACAAGACCAGGATCTGTCTCTGAAAGCAGAGCAATTATGAGGACTGTCACTGTTGAAGCCGTTAAAGAATCAAACCAAACCAACCAAGAATATTTTATAGTTTCCATTCCGTTTTGCCTTTATTTTTATATTATGACTTAACAGCTTCAGGCCACTGCAAAACCTGCAACCTCTCCACACAGGTGTGAAGCTTCACCACCATCATGAACCAAGGACATTGTACACCAAGGCAGTGGCAAAGTCAGTGCTGGAAATGAGATCTTCTAGCTCTCCTGTCTTTTGCTTTTAACGGGGGGCCAATACAATAATATTTTTTTTCCCGTTTGTTATTATTTATTTACTTATTTCTGTGTTCCTCTCCTTCTTTTCCAAGTTCTTGTAAAAACTTTGGAAACTATTGGCTTTTTCTTGAGTTTCCTAGGAAGCCTTCTTACATCCATTTAAATACCAGCACCTTTCATACTCCCATCCTTTGGCCTATGCAAATCCTCTTTATTGTCATGTTCAGAGGGAAATGCTATTCAACTTTGTTTCCTTAATTTGTCTTCCTCTTAGAAGCTGACCAAATTCTTCAGATCTCCTTTATTCTAAGCCAGAATTGGATAGTTCTGAAGCTTCAGAGCTCAAGGATTTGGGTAGTGCAGTTAGAGCAAGCAGAATTTGAATTCCTCAGTAGAGGTAGCACTGGATGAGACTCCATCACTGAATGTGATGAAGAATGTACAGAACTTCAGAATTGCCCTGTGTCTGCTGATGCTACTGAACAGCACTGGAAAAATAGTGTATCTGTTGACTCTGAGCAAAAATGGAAGGAATTATCTTGGATCCTTTGAGTCACTGATCAATTAGGGGGGACCTCATTACTCTCTACAACTACCTGAAAGGAGGTTGTAGTGAGGTGGGATTGGTGTCTGCTGCCATGTCTCAAGTGAAAGGATGAGGGAAAATGGCCTTAGGTTTCACCAGAGGAGGTTCAGATTAGATACTAGAAAAGAATTTTCACTGGAAGAGTGGTTAGGCATTGGAATAAATTGTCCAAGGAGCTGTCGGAGTAACTGTCTCTGGAAGTGTTGAAGAGGCACCTGGATGTGGTGTTTGCAGATAGGGTTTCGGGGTGATTATAGTGGTGCTGGGTTGATGA